TGCTTGTGATGGGCTCTGGTTCATCATGTGACTTTCTCATCACCGTCTGCATTTGGTGGTTATCAGTGTATTACAAAGGTACTAAACAGATTTCAGTACTTCAATAGGTTGGTATATTAACATTATATCAGTTAATGAATTTACGGTATTTAACTGTAAATTTAAGTTAAAACCGTGAAACCTAAAACGTCGCTACCATATTTTTTTATGGTAAAATTCCGGCAACCACAGCTTCTGTTTTTTTACCGTAAATTTTACAGATGTTTTTTTACAGTGTACGAATACCCATATTGTCATTCTGCTAATTTTATGTTTGAGATTGATCATATGTAGTCAAAGTATACATGCTATATGTATATTGTTGCATTTCCTAAAGGCAACATACAGCATGCATACAGATGATAAAGCAGCTGGCTGCATTTATGCTTCCCTCAGGAAGATCATGAAGACTGAAGGATTTCTATGGAGATATCCTTAGTAACCAATGGCCTTGATGCAGTTTCTGCCCCAGAGGGGTTTTCTGGAGGTGAACCATGTCAAGCAGAGGTGACTAAGGACAATGGATGCGGCACGTGCTTGAAACACCCTTCAAACTGCCCCTCTTTCTCTCCTCAACACACAATGAAAGATGAATTGTATTTAGTACAATACACATCTAGATGTTAATTTACATTATATGTTCAGATGTTTTAATTAAAGGAATAGTTCACCAAAAAAAGTACAAATTGCTGAAAATTTGCTCACCCTCAGGTGATGTAGATGAGTTTGTTTCGGAGATTGGGAGAAATTTAGCATTATTTACATCACTTGCTCACCAGTGGGTCTTCTGAGTGAATGGGTGCCACAAGTAATCCACACGAAGCAAAAAGCTGCGTATTTGTAAGAAACAAATCTATCAATAAGGGCAATTGAAATTGAAACAGTCTGACTCCACAAGTCCACAATCCATAACAATGCTTCCTCCAGTAAAAAAAAGTCCATCCACTATGGTCCTCTCACTATTCTGGACTGTTTAGGCTTGTAAACTATGCTTGATTTGTGCATATTTCTCTCCTGATTCAGACGAGATGACTTTTTCTCATTAAATAATAATGAGAAAAATCAAATTTTAAAATGGAACAGTTTATAACCATTAAGCAAATACATTTAAAACAACGATACATCAAGCATTTATGGCTCATTTAGTGTGATATATAATATGGAGCTCTCACTCAGTGTGAGAGAGAGAGAGAGAGAGAGAGAGAGAGAGAGAGAGAGCACCTCAGCTTTATTCAGATGCCCAAACTGAGGAAAACTGTGCAATTTAGTGCAGTTAATGATATTTATAAGTATAAAGTGTGAAATACTTATGTAATAGGAAATAAAGACAAGAGCAAACAATTCAGTAAAATGTATGCAACAAAGACAGCGCTGTATTACGATTAATAAAAAAATAATTTATATTATTTACATATAACTTTGTGCTCAGCCAAAACGATATGACCTGGAAGAAATAATAGATTCATGAGACCAAAGATTGCTTGTTAGATTTACCCAAAATGAATTACAGTATATCTCATGTTTAACCACTACAGAGACATCAGAGCCAGCGGCAAATGTCAGAAGGCCTAGCCGAGGTGAGACTGCTCTCGGCGGATACATGAGCACTGAGCGCCCGGTGATCGCGTGGATCTCACGTCTCCGAAATCGGCTAAACAAATTTTTAAATAGGCACTATCTTTATAAATAAACCGCAGATTTGAGTTTTTAACAACTATATTCTCACCTGAAATACTCTTAGAACTGCATTTCATGACACAATAACAGTAATACTTTGAAAATTATGCGGGTTTTCTCCGCCATTAACGCTCGCTGGTTGGTGCGAAACGCATTCTGCAATATCGGATAGCTTCACTGCGATAGAGGCTATTTACACTAAGTGCAAATAACTATAGATTCTATTTATACTATGTTAAAATAGCAGGATATTCTGCTAATTACTTATTGCAAATAGTGGGAATTATCTGCACCTCAGCATTGTAATACATTGCATAATATGCAATAATAACTTATTGAGTTTAAACTTTTATTTTAATTCAAATTATTAAATGGATGCCACCTTATTGGGACTAATGCCCTCTACACCTACCCTAACCCTACCCGATACTTTCAACTTTTTGATTTGATTATTTCCTTCCTAAATGCTTTTCTGATGCGATTTGAATTTTGAAAAGGGAGAAAAATGTTTGCCAAAAGGCAGATTCGAAAACGGGTCGATCGCGTCAAAAGTAGTATGACACATGCTTTACCATCTACACCACTGAATCTGAAGATTGATTTTCTAGACTGGAAAGGTCTTTCTGGCATGGTAATTAAATGGTTCAGGTCATACTTAGAAGGGAGAGGTTATTATGTGAGTATAGGAGTATAGGAGTCTCAGTGGACGTCCATGACATGCGGAGTCCCACAAGGCTCAATTCTTGCACCGCTCTTGTTTAGCCTATATATGCTCCCACTAAGTCAAATAATGAGAAAGAACCAAATTGCATATCACTGCTATGCTGATGATATCCAGATTTACCTAGCCTTATCTCCAAATGACTACAGCCCCATTGACTCCCTCTGCCAATGCATTGATGAAATTAACAGTTGGATGTGCGAGAACTTCCTTCAGTTAAACAAGGAAAAAACTGAAGTCATTGCATTTGGAAACAAAGATGAAGTTCTCAAGGTGAATGCATACCTTGACTCTAGGGGTCTTAACAACTAAAAATCAAGTCAGGAATCTTGGTGTGATTCTGGAGACAGACCTTAGTTTCAGTAGTCATGTCAAAGCTGTAACTAAATCAGCATACTATCATCTCAAAAACATTGCAAGAATTAGAGGTTTTGTTTCCAGTCAAGACTTGGAGAAACTTGTTCATGCCTTTATCACCAGCAGGGTGGACTATTGTAATGGTCTCCTCACCGGCCTTCCCAAGAAGACCATTAGACAGCTGCAGCTCATCCAGAACGCTGCTGCCAGAATTCTGACTAGAACCAGAAAATCTGAGCATATCACACCAGTCCTCAGGTCCTTACACTGGCTTCCAGTTACATTTAGGATTGATTTTAAAGTACTTTTACTCATTTATAAATCACTCAATGGCCTAGGACCTAAATACATAGCAGATATGTTCACTGAATATAAACCTAACAGACCACTCAGATCATTAGGATCGAGTCAGTTAGAAATACCAAGGGTTCACACAAAACAAGGGGAATGTGCTTTTAGTTATTATGCCACCCGCAGTTGGAATCAGCTTCCAGAAGAGATCAGATGTGCTAAAACATTAGTCACATTTAAATGCAGACTCAATTTATATTATTTACATATAACTTTGTGCTCAGCCAAAACGATATGACCTGGAAGAAATAATAGATTCATGAGACCAAAGATTGCTTGTTAGATTTACCCAAAATGAATTACAGTATATCTCATGTTTAACCACTACAGAGACATCAGAGCCAGCGGCAAATGTCAGAAGGCCTAGCCGAGGTGAGACTGCTCTCGGCGGATACATGAGCACTGAGCGCCCGGTGATCGCGTGGATCTCACGTCTCCGAAATCGGCTAAACAAATTTTTAAATAGGCACTATCTTTATAAATAAACCGCAGATTTGAGTTTTTAACAACTATATTCTCACCTGAAATACTCTTAGAACTGCATTTCATGACACAATAACAGTAATACTTTGAAAATTATGCGGGTTTTCTCCGCCATTAACGCTCGCTGGTTGGTGCGAAACGCATTCTGGGATACCTGGTTGCCTCACTGCGATAGAGGCTATTTACACTAAGTGCAAATAACTATAGATTCTATTTATACTATGTTAAAATAGCAGGATATTCTGCTAATTACTTATTGCAAATAGTGGGAATTATCTGCACCTCAGCATTGTAATACATTGCATAATATGCAATAATAACTTATTGAGTTTAAACTTTTATTTTAATTCAAATTATTAAATGGATGCCACCTTATTGGGACTAACGCCCTCTACACCTGCCCTAACCCTACCCGATACTTTATTTTCAACTTTTTGATTTGATTATTTCCTTCCTAAATGCTTTTCTGATGCGATTTGAATTTTGAAAAGGGAGAAAAATGTTTGCCAAAAGGCAGATTCGAAAACGGGTCGATCGCGTCAAAAGTAGTATGACACATGCTTTACCATCTACACCACTGAATCTGAAGATTGATTTTCTTCTTTTGCAATGTTGACTAGCCCAATCACACGTTGGTGGGTGGAGTTAGTGTAAATAGCCTCTGCCAACAAGGCGGGCTATTTGCACTTAGTGTACATTTTTTTTTTATTCCCAACAGTTAAGCAGTTGCCAACAGAAAAAAACAGCAGCACCCCCACTTCCCGCGCCTATGGCCCAAGCCTTCTGAACCTCCAGCTTCACCCGGGCCCTCCAAGGCCATGTGTCCTTCTCGATCCTCCGATCGCTCGGCTCCACTTGTACGTCATTCAGTCTGCTGATTTCCACCTGCTCCACCATGGACCTCTGAGCTTTCAGCTTCACCATGGCCCCTCTTTGTTTACACCGGGGTTCTCCATCACTTTGGCTCCACCGTTGGCCTCGGTTCTCTTGTGTCTAAGTACTACAATGTAAATATGACTATTATTGGATGAGAACTGAACTAAATGATGGCATCACAGTTTTTTACAGGGCTGCTTTACAGCATAGCTGAACTGCTTTCATAATTGATTAACTTTACACATTACTGAACGGAACTGCATCAACACTGAACTGACCTCAGCTGAGCAATGACATTTTTTTAGAGCAGAATTGATGTCTGTTTGCATCACTGAGCGTGTCGCAACTCTGTTTCTCAACGGCTCAACAGCTTTCCAAACCCTGTCATCTGATTGGCTTGTTCCATCAGCGATGATTCTGTACCGCCGTCTGATTGGTCCACCGGTCCAGCGATGCGTCTCCCAGCCAATCATTGCTCACTCTTTTAGAGTCGACTGAGGCGGAGAGATTGACTTCCGTGTTGTAGCTTTAGTCTCGGTGTCTTCTCCTTCATCATGGGTGCGTGTATGGCCCTGTGCTCGCTGGCGAGCTGCGTAAGTCTAAAATATCATTCTGACTCAAATCAATGTTGTCAAATTTCATCTAGTAAAGACAGCAGCGCATTTCCCAGAAACTTGTATAACCGAGACGAGTTTTAGAGGTTGTTTCCTCGTTTTGCTCACGTAAATAAACTATAAAAACATAAACAAATGACTCAAGGACGGCGTTTCCTTGTGTTTTTAGACTCTGTTTGCTCTCAGTAAGGTCATACTTGCACACAATGTCTCCCTATAAAACACTCTTTCTGAATCCACTCGCTCTCCAGACCAAACATGTCCATTTTTACCAGCGCTGTTTAATATAAGTGTTTAACATACAGGTCCAGGCTGCTCATGCTCTTCCTGCAGTGCAGAGAAATGTGTGTCTTTGCTCTGTCGAGTGTTTCTTGACCAACTGTGTTCCTGCTTGACGCAGTGTGTATTGTATAAAGCGCTATAGAACTGAAGCTGACTTGACTTGCCATCGCTGCAGGCGTCCTGTCTGTGCGGCTCTGCGCCCTGTCTCTTATCCGGATGCTGTCCCTCTACATACAGCTCCACTGCGAGCCGCCTGGCCTTCTCCTTCTTCCTGCTGCTGGGGACTGTAGTGTCCATCATCATGATCCTGCCCGGCATGGAGACACAGCTCAAGAAGGTATAAGGAAAGATAGACCAGTGTCAGATTGAATGATTGGCTTTTATTAAAGGAGTCATATGATGTGATTTCAATTTGTCCTTTCTCTTTGGAGTGTTACAAGCTCTTGGTGCATAAAGAAGATCTGTAAAGTTGCAAAGACTAAAGTCTCAAATCCAAAGAGACGCCTACCTAAAACGGCTCGTTCTAACACGCCCCCACATATCTACATCACTATGTGGGAAGATTTGCATAACCGCCCAAATGTTCACGCAAAGAAAGAAGGCATAACTTTTATTCTCGCTGTAGTATTGTTGCTGCCGCAAAATAAATAGCCTATTAAGTCTAAATATGTAAGTATTTGGCGCTGTGATGAACATCATAGCAAATACACAAATCTGAATGGCTGTTTAAATCATTTAAACACGATTCAGAAACAGAAAGTAGTGCAGCTGCTTTGTTTACAGGGTTTCCGGGGGAACGGCTGCATTTAAATGAATTATTATTATTATTATTATTATTATTTCTGCCGTTTAGTGCCATCTGCTGTCAGAGAGTGAAAGTGTGCTTTCATCCAGTTGGTCATAGTTGCTTCTCGTCCGCGCTTGTTTACATCAGTGCGCACGCGTCTTTCTCGCAGCATACAGTAGTGTTGTGCATGTTGACCAGTTGATGGGAAAAGATGCATTCAAAATGCATTCAAAATTCTGAATAATTTGTAATATATAATTATTCACGGTATTTAGAAGTGCCCACGATAGCAGTATTGTGCATATTCATTACCGTGATATATCGCATTACCGACTACCGGCACAAGTCTAATGGAAATAAACAAAACAAACAAATAAATAAATGTCTATTTATTTTCTAAATATTGGCACCACTGGTCATAAATTTGGAGTAATTGAGATCTATTTTTGAAGGAAGTCTGTCGTGTTTACCAAGGCTGCAGTTTATTTGATCAGAATACTGCAAAAACAGTAATAATGTAAAATATCATTAGTTTAAAATAACTTTTCTATGTGAATGTGTATTTTAAAATGTAACTTATTCCTGTGATGCAAAGCTGAATTTTCAACAAGAACGCCGCAAATTGATCAAAAGTGACAGTGAAGACATTTATATATTTGTACTTCAAATAAATGGTGGCTATTCATCAAACTAATTCTGAAGAAAAAAACAGCGTCATAGTTTCCGCAAAACTATTAAGCAGCAAAAACAGTTTTCAGCGTCGATAATAATTAGAATGATTTCTGAAGATAACGTGACACTGAAATTCAGCTTTGATCACAGCAATAAATTACATTTTAATATATATTAAATACAAAAAATAAGTTATTTTTAATTGTAATAACATTTCATTATTAGTGTTTAACTGTATTTTTGATCAAATAAATATGTCTTTAGTGAGCGTAAGAGACTTTATTTTAAAAACATTTAATTATTCAAAAAGTTTGATAGGTAGTGTATATAATTATTTCTGCACTATTTCTATTTCTAGTTTATTGCTAATTAAATGTAAGTGAATTTCTGACATTCTGAATCTCACTGTGCGTAAAATGTACTTTAGGCTTATAAATACTAGGCTTCTGAAATTAGCATTAGTAGAATTATTCTAATAATTTGTAGTAATGATTAGATTAGTTCCCTCTTTGCAGTTTTCTAAGCTTAATATAAATCCATGTTTCAGTTGTGTTTGATGTTGAGATGGATATATTGTAGGTTGTGGGAAAATGACCTTAGACTACTAACAACATTACACTTCCAAAATATTTTTTGCATGTTTATATTTGCATACTTGTATCAAAAGCAAGTTAACAAGTGTGTGTGTGTGTATATATATATATATATATATATATATATATATATATATATATATATATATATATGTGTATATATATACAGTATATAGATAGATAGATAGATAGATAGATAGATAGATAGATAGATAGATAGATAGATAGATAGATAGATAGATATAGATAGATATATATATATAGATATAGATATGTATATATATGTGTTCTCTAAATCCATTAATCTGCTCTTTGACTGGTTTGTTTTGGTTTGCAGCAAGCTTAAACTTATTTAGTGGTTTATACATTCATAATCTCTCATATTCATATTCATAATCTCAAATGTGAATTTTTCAAATGTTTTAATGTTTGTGTTTGAACATAAACAGCCACAGTATGTTATCAAGACTGTAAAGGGAGATTGAAATATTATATTTGTAAAACTGCAGTTTTATTCATTTTCTTGAATTTATCAACAGATCCCTGGCTTTTGTGAAGGAGGCTCTTCTATACCTGTATTTGAAGGGAAGGTGAACTGTGAGATCATTGTTGGCTATAAGTCGGTCTACAGGATGTGCTTTGCCATGGCCTGTTTCTTCCTCCTCTTCTCCATCATCATGATCCGTGTGAGAAGCAGCAAGGATCCACGAGCCACAATTCAAAACGGGTATAGTTTTACTATTCACTCTTCCAGCTGTAATGATGGACAGGGTGTTCTCAGTGCTGCCCTCTGCTGGTGAAAGCTTTTTTTTTTTTTTTTAAATATGGAAAATTCCTTTTTGCACAATAGTTTTATTTTGTCCGGGAAGTCTTATGTAATGACCCCTGCTGATGTGACCGTGTATGTTGCTTTTCAGTTTCTGGTTCTTCAAGTTCTTGATTCTGGTCGCTCTTACAGTGGGAGCTTTCTTCATTCCAGATGGGGCTTTCAACACAGGTACATCAGCTGATCAATAAGGACTAATAATAGCTTAAAGGGATAGTTCACCCAAAAATGAAAATGGGATGTTTATCTGCTTACCCCCAGGGCATCCAAGATGTAGGTGACTTTGTTTCTTCAGTAGAACACAAACTGAGATGTTTTAACTCAAACCGTTGCAGTCTGTCAGTCTTATAATGTAAGTGGATAGGAATCACGGCTTTGAGAGTCAAAAAAACATAAACAAATCCAAATTAAACCATTCGGCTCGTCATGATACATTGATGTGTAAAGACACGAAACGATTGGTCTGTGCAAGAAACTGAACAGTATTTATACAGTTTTTTTTTTTTACCTCAGATGCACCGCAATATCTGAACTGTTCTGAGCGCATCCTCGACAGCCGGCACTGACGCGTCGTCGTCTTCTTGTTTTACAGCAGATTGCAGACTTACAAGTGCATTACCACCACCTATCTCTCAAATGGACCATTGACACTCCTAATTGAGATTGTAGATAGAGCGTCACTGGTCCATTTGAGAGATAGGTGGCAGTAATGCACTTATAAGTCTGCGATCCACCGTAAAGCAAGAAGAAGACGCCTCACACAGGCTGTTGAACGCGCTCAAGATGCGCTCAGGACAGTTCAGACATTGCAGTAAATCAGAGGTAAAATACTGTTCAGTTTCTTGCACAGAACAATCGTTTCGTGTCTTTACACATCAATGTATCGTCACGAGCCGCAGGGTTTAATTTGGTTTTGTTTGTGTATGTTTTATTGACTCTCAAAGCCGTGGAGCCCATTCACTTCCATTATAAGACTGACAGACTCCAACGGTTGAGTTAAAAATCTCAGTTTGTGTTCTACTGAAGAAACAAAGTCACCTACATCTTGGATGTCCTGGGGGTAAGCAGATAAACATCACATTTTAATTTTTGGGTGAACTATCCCTTTAATAATTACATATTATTTGTTGTTGTAATTATTTTCCCAAATATTTTTCCACTCTTTAGAAGTTATGGTAAATGACCACTGAGTGTGTGGTTATATTAAATATGAATCACTCTTTATTGACATTTACAACTATGTACACTCTTTAAAAAAAAATGAAAAAGGTACAAAAGCTGTCACTGGGGCAGTACTGTCTCAAAAGGCACCCCTTGTATCTAAAGAGTCCATATTGGTACCTTAATGGTACAATTTAGTTCCTAAAGTGTACATATTAGTACTTAAAAGGTACAACCTTTTGAAAAGGTACCACCACAGTGACAGCTTTTGTACCTTTTTGCTCTGTAGTTCCCAGGAGGAATAGCAGTTTCTCGTGTAAAACCAGATGGAAATGCAAGCAATCGACATTATCTGTAGGCCCTGTTTACTCCTTTTACCCATGTGACCACATCACAATTGTGGAGTAAACACTAATGCATCCTGATGAACGACCACCTGCTTATCTGACGTGGCACTTTTATGGGGGTAGAATTGTTGCTTAATTCCAAATAAATAGATTATGATCCACAAATAAATAGAATGATATCCACAAATAAATCTTAAAGTTTCACAAACATGAATTAAATTCGCAAATAAATAAAATGAGATTTGCAAATAAAAAACATATTCACAAATATATATTTATGTCACAACCACAACTTTGCCTGGCATTTATTTGTAAATCGCGTCCTGTGCATTTGTAGATAGCTGCACGCATTTGTAAATCGCGTCCTGTGCATTTGTAGATAGCTGCACGCATTTGAAAATTGCGTCCTGTGCACTTGTAGATAGCTGCACGCATTTGTAAATCGCGTCCTGTGCATTTGTAGATAGCTGCACGCATTTGTAAATCGCGTCCTGTGCATTTGTAGATAGGGCACGCATTTGTAAATCGCGTCCTGTGCATTTGTAGATACACAAATACGTGGACTCCACCCACCGTCTACTCAAGCCAATCAGATAACAGGCTTTTGAGATTCCTGTAAATGTGAAAAGGGTCCACGAGGGACGTTTTGTTGCTCACTTGGTTTCTTTTTTTGATTCAAAATCATCATAACGGTATATAACATATCAGCTGATTGGCTACAATTCTGTTCCTTTGCACAGTTTTTTCCACTTGAATATTGACGGATGTGTGTGTTTTCTCCACAGCCCTGCTCTCATTCACACTGGTGCACTATATCTGTGCCTTTGCTGCTGTGGTTTTGTTCTATATATTCTACACACAGCCGGATGACTGCGCCGAGCACAAAGCCTTCATCAGCCTCAACCTCATCTTCTGCATCATTGTGTCTGTGGTGGCCGTTCTTCCAAAAGTGCAGGTCATTCCCACACGCATTTGCGTCGCTTGTTTTCTTGCTTTTCTCACTGAATGGATTTAAACAAGATAAAACAGACAAGTCTATCCGAATGTGAACATTTCATGTCATCCTGCACACATCAAATAAGCTGACAGAAGGATTCACATTGTTGGTAAATGTGTTGCAGGAGGCTCAGCCGAGCTCTGGTCTGCTCCAGGCGTCTCTCATCTCTCTCTACACCATGTATCTCACATGGTCTGCGATGAGCAACAACCCCAGTGAGTCTCACATGTCCATATATGCATGCAGCTATCTACAAATGCACAGGACGCGATTTACAAATGCGTGCAGCTATCTACAAATGCACAGGACGCGATTTACAAATGCGTGCAGCTATCTACAAATGCACAGGACGCGATTTACAAATGCGTGCAGCTATCTACAAATGCACAGGACGCGATTCACAAATAAATGCCAGGCAAAGTTGTGGTTGTGACATAAATATATATTTGTGAATATGTTTTTTATTTGCAAATCTCATTTTATTTATTTGCGAATTTAATTCATGTTTGTGAAACTTTAAGATTTATTTGTGGATCTCATTCTATTTATTTGTGGATCATAATCTATTTATTTGGAATTAAGCAACAATTCTACCCCCATACACTTTTCTGGTTGCATGGATGTTTAAAAATGTTGATAATCCCATACATACACCAGGATTCCCTCTGTCACTGAAAACCAAATTTCAGGGAGTATTAAAATGGCAATTTCCATACCTGAAACGTCTGAGTCTGGTAATTTATCTTAATCCTAAATCAAAATTTTGTAGTCAATTTAATATTTTTCTAGTTATGCTCCGCTTTACAATGTTTCCTTGACTAGAAATGGCTCTTTGTGAGTGCAGACTTTATGAAATGAGAAATCCCTTCCAGATGTCAGGAGCAGCTGGAGAAGTCTCTTTTGAAGTCTCATTGGTCAGGAATGGATGTCTAACTTAGCCTACATGTTGTCCGTTGCAGTGTGGTACTACTTCGGTGTGGTTGGGTCCTTCATCTTCATTCTGATCCAGCTCATTCTGCTGGTGGATTTCGCTCACACCTGGAACCAGAAGTGGGTGGAGAATGCAGAGAACGGGAACAGCAAATGCTGGTATGCAGGTATGTTCAGCAGCATTGTTTCTGTGTTACCAAGCTTTTGAACTGATAAAGATAAGAGCTGAAAGCAGGTGTCATGTTAAAGTTTGCCATTTTAATATAACGTTCTCTTCTAACCAGCTTGCAACTTTGACAAGCAGCCGTACCTCTTCAGCTTTCTGATTTGATTTTAATAGATGAGAATTTAGTTCATATGTTGACCCTCATCTCTGAAAGAGACATCAGAAAAACACTGTCAGGTAAAAGTGTGCTTATATGGACAATATAAAGTTGACAGCTATTAAGAATTTGACGTTAAGAAGATTAACACACAGCGCAGGCACAAAAATGTAGGTGTGATAAGTTCTTGTTTAAACTTTTATAACTAGAACAACGATGATGGCAGTTTTGTGAGTTAAATGAAGTGACATTTAAATAGGTGTGATGTTTGGTATCTGGCCAATAGGGTGGGACGGGGTGTTTTTCACCTTTATTCAGATAGTACAGTATAGAGTGGACATGGAAGCAATGTGGGACTGACTTGCCTAATTTATTTTGTATTAAAACCTCACCCTTCAAAGGTATGTCAACAAACTTGAATGTGCACAATGTTTGACTAGCAAAGAGAGAAAGTGTCTAGGAGGCCATCACAGAAACAAGTGACATTTATCTCACAACACCTATTTCAGTGATTATTATTTATTATTATTAATAAACTTTATTTGAAAAGGGACCATGTACAATTTTAACAAATGTTTCGGATGAAAACTAGCCATTGGCTAAATTCGGTACATTGCATGAAATGGAAACATTTATGTTAAAATTGTACAATTAATTTCTGATTGTTTGCAGAAATTAATTTTTATGTACATTTACATTCAAAAGTTTGGGGTCTATAAGATTTTTGAAAGAAGTCTCTTGTGCTCAACAAAGCTGCATTTAATTGACCAAAATACAGTTAAAAACAGTAATATTGTTAAATATTATTACAAAATAAAGGGGTCATATGATGCGATATAAATTTTTCCTTTCTCTTTGGAGTGTTACAAGCTCTTGGTGCATAAAGAAGATCTGTAAAGTTGCAAAGACTAAAGTCTCAAATCCAAAGAGATATTATTTATAATTTATATTTTTTTATTTCTGTGATCAAAGCAGAATTTTCAGCTTCATTACCTGTCTTCAGTGTCACGTGATCCTTCAGAAATCAATGCTGAAAGCGTCTCGGTTCCCTGAGAGCGTTCACTTTACATTGTGAAGCATTTGCAGTGGGAACTCCTCCCCTTCTCTGAAATCCTGAAACCTTATAGGATAACACCAGTACAATAAACTGGCCAATTGTCGCTAATTATGCAAATCGCATGCAAAAAATAACAAGACTGCAGGCAGTATATGATGTAGTGAGAGCGACAATTGCCTCAGAATCTAAGCTTGCACTACTGATCGAGCAGCGATCACGGCGACCTTCACAATGTCTCGTTCCCACTCTCAGGGAACTGAGGTTGCGACAGTAACTGGAGACGTTCCCTTTCGAGCGTTTTACTATACATTGCTAAGCATTCACAGTGGGAATGGTATACAATCCTGCCATGAGAGCTGTGAAGATCAGCCCGAACCAAGGGCTAAGACCACACCAAGCATGGGGTAGAACAACACACAATTCCCAAACAATAGTGATGTGGCTAGGGAAGCCCGCAGCTGATAGGTGGAGCTAGACCAATGAACGTTTACTTAACTCCGGTATACCAAATTAGTATATCTGGCCAAAATAAACAAGCGGCTGCACTGGACACAGGGCAGACACAACAACGGTAGCAAGGTAGCGCCGTGCAACGTACCAAAAGCACATATAAAAATGTACACAGACCTGCACAGTGTCAACAGCTGTAACAAACTGTGCCCCAAATTGCAGATAGCGATAAACTAGAAGAATAAGTGAGGTAAGTGACTCACCGAAAGCACTTGAGACACCAAGGACGGCACATCCAACTTGTAAAACCTGGCGAAGGTATTCTGTGAGGACCAGCCGGCTGCCAAACATGTATCCCGAATAGATGTGCCTTTAGACCAGGCTCATGAAGAGGCAATAGCCCTCGTCGTATGGGCTCTGATGTTGAGAGGGCATCCCTGTCCCTTGGCAAACAGCGCTCTGAGCCTTGGCAGACAATGCGGGTAAAGAAATGACCTGCGCTTTAAAGGGGGTAGATAGAGATTTAGGCACATAGCCCGGTCTCGGCAGGAGAATAACACTGCCGGCCCAAAGTGAATAAAGTCATCATCCACCGAGAGCGGCGTGCAAATCTCCCATGCGTTTAGCCGAGGCAAGAAGCAGAGCAGTTTTGAGGGAGAGCTCCCTCATAGCAATGGATGCCAAGGGCTCAAACGGGGGTAGAGAGAGAGCTTTCAGAACCAGCGCTAGGTCCCACAGCGGCACTGATGGTGGAAATGGGGGATGTAATCTCCTCACCCCCTGAGATATCTGAACTCCAGCATGTGCCTCCCGATCGATTGCCCGTCAACCGGGGAACAAAACGAAGCAATAGCGGCCACATAAACCTTTAGCATTGACTGTAGACTCCTGTTATCTAGCCTGTGCTGCAGAAAACGTAGAACATCCGACACGTGACAGACAGGGCGCTTAGCCCCTCTAGGACCCCTGAAGTAGCCACACATGAAGGCTCACAGCTCTGGGCTGGGGTGCTATATCGAGCCATTCGCTTGAGACAGCATGTCCCGCCTGAGGGGGATTCGCCAAGGGCATCTCCCTGAGGTCGGAAACCAAGGTTGATTTGGCCAGTTCAGGGCAATGAGGATCACCAACGCTCTCTCTTCCATGATTTTGCATAATACCAGAGGCAAAATCTTCACCGGAGGGAACGCATCAAGTCTGACTCTTGGCCAGTGCGATGTCAGAGCATCTCCCATCAGCGGGGAGTGAGAAAGCTAAAAGAACAACAGGCAGTGTGTGTTCTCGCTCGTCGCGAACAGATCCACCTCCACCCTCCCGAAGTGGTCCCAAATCTTCCAATCCGAACTGGGATGCAGCTAGGGCTGTGTATCAAGTTCGATACTTTTTAGGCACCGACCGAATTACCTCGATACCATCGAGTATCGAAAAATGTCTTGTCGTTCGGTACCAAATTTCGATACCTAAGGGGTTAATATAGTCAATGTCAGTGAGCCAGTAAGCGTGCAGCATGCTTTATGCGTCTAAATCAGTGATTGGCTCTAGCGAGGCATTAGGGGAAACGCATGTTGCATGACCATTCATTCACACTGTAGCATCATGCTACATAGGGCAATTTATAGAATGTATACAATGCTTTTACTCAAAACTCACTTTAAACCACCATTGAGTGTTTGCAATAACTTCCGATTGTGATCTAATGAGGGTTTTGGTCATATAATGTTGCAGAAATATGTTATTTGTAGCCTTTTATATCAAGCTAATCGCTACACCTGCTTAGCATTTCCCATGTATTCAACACCCTGTATTGTTATAAAAATAGGCAGAATCTCATGAAAACATATACAAATCAAGAACAGCAGTTACACTTTATTTGAAGGTCTCCTTGTTACAGTGAAATTATACATGTAAGTAGCGAGTAATATTAATTAACTACATGTACTTACTATATGGTTAGGATTAGGGTTACTTGCATGTAATTATGCATAATTAATTGTTATTATAAGAGTAAGTACAAGTAACATGTGTAACACGGACACCTTCAAATAGTGTTGCCAGAACAGCATTTATTTGAAACATCTTTTGTAACATTTTAAATGTCCTTACAGTCATTTTGATAAATTTAATGCATCCTCTATGATTTAAAAAAAAAAAAAACAGACCCCGAACCCTTTTTAACATAGGTTATATCATTGTCTGATAGTCTCTTAATAATCTGTAAGCAATGAATAGTTGTCTCAAACTACATTTTGCTACCAAAACTTAGAAATCACACGCTTGATAACGTAACACCAAAACAAAGGATTTCTCGGAAAGACATGGGAAAAATTCCAGATGCAGGTTGTTTGTTTACATAATTGAATTCTGGGAAAAAATACATACACAAAAACACATGGAGCTGCTTGAATGGAAAAAATGACAAACCTCAGCAACCTCCAGGCCAAATGTAATGCAATTAAACTTTAAAGGAGCATTTTTGCCGTGGAGCGCAGTATGGAAATTCTGTGTAACAATCCCATTAATTGGCCCTGCTTAACTCCCAGCCAATGCTTAATAGGTAGCGTGTGTAAAATTAATAACACAGTCACTGTCTATTATAGAGTGTCCCACTGTATGCTATTTTATGCTTATAATAACCTGTTTCTCGTATGATGCATGGCTCTTTCTCTGTGCACAGATCGTAAGTGTAACCCGAGTCTGTTGAGGCTGGTCAGAGGCGGGCCGACGGCAGTCACTCCCACCAGTGCCCCCGGCATCCAGACGCAGTGGTGGGATGCCCAGAGCATTGTGGGGCTGGTCATCTTCCTCCTGTGCACACTGTATGCCAGGTGAGCTGGTTACCATTATCCAGCAACAGGCAAAGAAATGTGTAATAACAAGCTGTGCTGAGCAGTATAACTTAAAATATTTCAGCTTTTTTTCTTTTACTTGTATTCAAAAAATGTTTACTTGTATTCAAAAAATGTTTATTGATGTATTTGTTTTGAAATGGCTTAAATTAGAATTAGAAATAAACTAACTCCAAATAATCAAGGCATGAAAATGTAATGTCTTCATACTCTTTATTAGTCTGTTGACATGGATTGTAGGGAACATGCATTTGTTTCCTTCGTGATATGTGTTTATTTTACATTACTGCTAAAAGTTTGGGGTCTGTAGGATTTTTTGACGCTTTTAAAAGTCATCAAAGTCATAAATAAATACATTTATTTAATCAAAAATACAGTAATATGTGACCCTGGACCACAAAACCAGTCATAAGGGTCAATTTTTCGAAATTGAGATTTATACATAAAAATAAGCTTTCCATTGTTGTATGGTTTGTTAGGATAGGACAATATTTGGCCGAGATACAACTATTTGAAAATCTGGAATCTGAGGGTGCAAAAAAAACCTAAATATTGAGAAAATCATCTTTAAAGTTGTCCAAATGAAGTTCTTAGCAATGCATATTACTAATCAAAGATTAAGTTTTGATATATTTACAGTAGGAAATTTACAAAATATCTTCAAGGAACATGATCTTTACGTAATATCTTAATGGTTTTTTTGGCATAAAAGAAAAATCTATCATTTTGACCCATACAATGGCTATTGGTTGGCTATTGCTACAAATATCCCCCAGCAACTTAACACTGCTTTTGTGATCCAGGGTCACAAATTGTAAATATAATTACAATTTAAAATAACTGTTTTCTGTTTTAATATAATGTAAAATGTAGTTTATTTCTGAATTTTTGGGATCATTACTCCAGTCTTCAGTGTCACATGATCCTTCAAAAATCATTATAATATGCTGATTTGCTGCTCAAGAAACATTTATTAATATTAATGTTGAAAACAATTGTGCTACTTCAAATTTTTGTGGAAATCTTTTCGTTTTTTTTGTTGCTATATGTCTATCTAAGTCACCTTTTACATGTTTGCGTCTAGCATTCGCTCCTCAAACAACAGTCAGGTGAATAAGCTGATGCAGACAGAGGAAGTTCAGGGGCTGGCGGCCGGCGATGCCAGCGAGGGCGTCTCTGAGGACGGCGTGAGGCGCGCTCTGGATAACGAGGAGGACAGCGTCACATACAGCTACTCCTTCTTCCATTTCTCCCTCTTCCTGGCCTCCCTCTACATCATGATGACCCTGACCAACTGGTACCAGTGAGTGTCTCACAGAGTATCCTGATACAACGGCCACTTTTCCAGCAGCTGTTCCACTAGGGCTGTCAAAATGGCTGAAAAACTAAATTCAAATTTTTTACTTAACCCCTTAACTGTCACCCCCAATTTTTTTAAATAGGCAATAAAGTGCACTATCCAAACTTAAATTGTTGTCATTTATGAACGCTTTGGAATACAGACCTAAAGGTGGTCTCTTTTAAAGAAGACATTTTTTGTAAAAAATTCAAGTATCAAAAAGTTATAGACGTTTAAATTTACTGTAAAGAAAATGCGCTATACTAATTTTATTTTATTTTATATATAGTAAATATTTTACATAACAGGTTTTACTCTAAAATTGGTATAAAATTAAAGCCTTGTGTCTAAATAAGTTATGTTCTAAATTTGAAGTTGATATGAAAAAAATTGAGGTTCCAGTGAGATTTTATTTAAGGCGTTATACCACAAACAGCCACCGGGTGCCATCAAATCTCCATTGAATTTTTTTAATGCATTTTTCTGTCACAAATGTCTAGATTTCTCCTAGACCTTTCCAATGATATGTATTTTGTCAAGATTATACAAAGTTTTGATTGTAAAATACCGCAATACATTTTGTAATATGACACTTGACACCGCCCACTAAGGGGGAGGAGACCGCCAAAAGAATTTAAAGTACCATTTCCATGGTAACGCAATGGCCGATTTCAAAATGCTTTTCACAGGATGACTCTTGGGCTTCTAAGCTTTCAAATGATATATATATATATATATAATTTATGATGATTACTAAAAGATTTGATAGAGAAAAAGGACAACAAAAAAAGAGTGGGACGGTGACAGTTAAGGGGTTAAATATTATTCGAATTATATTCGAAATTAAAAGACATAATTTCAGTTAGGGTGAAAAAAGCTTTTGGCTTCTCTCCTGAGGCCACAAGAGGGCGTATCGAGCAAAATATTATGCACGTTTCTTCAAAGCGTAATAAAATAACACGACTATCTTTGAAAAAAGTGCATAATGTTTAATATAATGTTTATAAACCTTATATAATTAATAAAGTTGCTTAAACAATTAGAAACAAAACGGCATCATGCATGTATGTATAGTTTAATACAAAGAACCGAAAACCAATCACAAAGAGTACTTTCTTCATTTAAAAACTTGAGATGCCGTGGGATGGGGGAAAACCGCAATAAAGTCTCCAGACATGTTTTTTAAAAGTTGAACTTGCATTCATTTTCCATGGCTTTCTAAACATGCGGCTCTCTTGTGCGAGATGCGAGTGCAACGCTGATAGATGTCCCTCTAGAAAATGTGATAAATATGCATTCTGTGTGAACGGCTTGGTTTCAGTTTTGACGTAAACAACATCATCCCCGCACTGATTGTTCCCTTTTTCTGCAATATTTTGAATGAACAACGTAGCAGCGCCGCATCTAGTGGCTTCAACTGGATAGACTAAGAAAAACATCACAATGCAATGACACTTGCATCGTCGTCGCATTTTGTGCGCCACTGATAGGGCTGCCTGACGTTTTATATGCAACGTTTTTGCATTCAAATGTGGATTTTTATTATAAATTCGACAAATATTCGAAATTTGATTTTTGTTTTTTGTTTTTTTGACAGCCCTACTCTATACACTGCTGGGGAGTTTTTGAGAGTTCTGTATACATGTTCATTTGGAACAATTGAGGATTGAATGATAAATATTTCTTCTCTTTTGTTCTCTCTTTCTCTTCCGTCTCAGACCCGAAACAGACTACGCAGCCATGAAAACCAGCATGCCGTCTGTGTGGGTGAAGATCTGCTCGAGTTGGCTGGGACTGGTGCTGTACCTCTGGACTCTGGTGGCTCCGCTAATCCTGTCTGACCGAGACTTCGACTAAACACGCAGAAGATTCAAAAAGTGGCCTTATACTGAAGCAATACTCCTTATGCCAAACCATATGCAGAGTTCACTTATTTACTACATTACAGAAGTTATTGTTAATCTTTAAGATGCGCTGAGCTCTTGAGCTATGCACACTTGTTAACCTTCATGACGCTTTTCATACACTTTTGTTGTTACAAAATCATAAACTGTTAACAAATATCCTCAAATCTACCCTTAGAAAGCCTGTTTTAGGTGATTATTCATATAGGTAAAGTCGCATAAATGGGACGCTCATTATTTTGATGTATACTTCAATTCACATATGTACACTGTTTTAACATCCTTTTATGGATATTTCATAGTCTTTTATATTTGTCTTGGGTCCAGTTTTGTTACAAATTGCACTACATTTGATCGAATCAAAGTTGAGTGTTCAGTGGATTGCCAGATTGCCTCATACATCAAGATGCTTATTTTGAGAAAGATGCGTTTATGTAGAGCTGTATCCGTTTAGTTTTGAAGCATTATTTTATGAGCTTTAAGATGACACTCCTCCTGACCAAAAGTTTTTAGCTCTGTTCTTTTGTATTTGTACTTTTATTCATTCTTGTAAAACTGATTATTAAAAATTGTACACAAGAGGTTATGTGTCTTTAATCTATACAGCAAGGTGTTTCCTCTATAGGTGGAAGTGTTGTTCTTTTCTTCAAGAGCGTGTTAATGGATCTTAAGGCAAGAGTCACTTGCTATTGCTCATACACTATGGGTACAGAACTAACCCAAGAGACTGGAGAAAGGTAACTCAGATATCTACACTGTTTATGCTACAGATATGCATGATACTTCAAATCATGAAGAGAGATGTGCAAGTAATTTTCTAACAGACTTGCAATTTTCATCTAGCAAATGATAAAAAAAACAGACTTGATCTAAAGGAGGGCTCCAGATATCATGTAGACTTGAAGGTGGGCTCTTGTATGAAATTGTGTATTTTTAGTATATTGCCATAGGCTACATATATCATTTTGACATTCTCTCTGCTTTTCTACTTAAATATCATACTTGCATAAATGTTCTGTGAATTTAGATGTTAATTTTGAATTTTGCTACCATAAAACAATGAAAAAAACACATTATTTTATGGTGCCCTTGATATAGTGTAATTATATTATTGAGTAATATTAATAACTTGTACTTACTATAGGGTTAGGATTAGGTTTTGCGTTGCATATTTTTCCATAATTTTACTGTTATTACTTTAGTAAGTATATGTACAGGTAAAAAGCACATTGTAAAATAAAGTGTTACTTCAAAGGTGTTTTCAAATAATTTTACCCAACCCTGCTTGTTAGAACCAAGTTGAGTTGTCATATCTATATTTGATTTTTCTCCACAAAATAACAAGTGCACAAGTAAATTCTGCAATATAATCACCACAATTATCAGAACAATTACAATACAACAGTAAAACAATAAAATAATTATAAAATATATAAATAAATAAAAAATAAAGAGGGTCTTTATGTATGTATGTTTTTATTTATTTTTTACTAGATTACAGTAGCTAATTACAACTACCCAACACTACACAATTGCTAGAAAGCTATGGATTTAGATTTGTCTATTTATATTGTAATTATTATTATTATTCCGAGGTCACTGCAGTCACCCGTATCCAGTACGTATTCAAACCAGACGGTGGATCAGCACCTAGAAAGGACCTCCACAGCCCTGAAAGACAGCGGAGACCAGGACAACTAGATGAGCCCCAGATACAGATCCCCTGTAAAGACCTTGTCTCAGACGACCACCGGGACAAGACCACAGGAACCAGATGAGTCCTCTGCACAATCTGACTTTGCTGCAGCCTGGAATTGAACTGCTGGTTCGTCTGGTCAGAGGAGAACTGGCCCCCTGACTGAGCCTGGTTTCTCCCAAGGTTTTTTCTCCATTCTGTCACCGATGGAGTTTTGGTTCCTTGCCGCTGTCGCCTCTGGCTTGCTTAGTTGGGGACACTTCATTTCCAGTGATATCGTTGACTTGATTGCAAAGATACTAGTTAAACTGAACTGAGCTGGATGATAACATCACTGAATTCAATGATGAACTCTCTTTAACTGAAAAATGAGTGTTTACTATTGTCACTTTGCATTATTGACACACTATTTTCTTAATTAATGCTGTTCAGTTGCTTTGACACTATTTGTATTGTTAAAAGCGCTATATAAATAAAGTTGACTTGACTTGACTTAATTATTTAAAACAACCCTCAACCTAGAATGACAACGGCAGGCTGTGAGCTTCTGGATCCCAAACAGCAATACTTGGCAGGTCAAAATTCCTTATACAGTTAACTGTTCATTCTGCAGTCATTGTGTTATGTGTTACTTGTGTTTTTATTATTATTACTATTTTAGAAATTATATATATATATGTATATATATTCGATAAAAGACAGACAGAAAAAATCAACATGCATATGTTGAAACCTTGCAAAGTTATGTGACAGTGTGCTCCTGAAGGACACAGCTTGACTGTGTGACGTGGCTGAGGTGCTACAACAAGGAATCCTTTTCCCGTTACGCATCAGTTTGCGTTGACCTCACTAATTGTGCTCTCGCTCACTTTCCACCCGCTGCTGTCCCATTGTGGGTATTTCCCTGTCTGTCTCGCCGTTACTCCTGATTGTTTTATGTCAGCGCACACACACACACACAAACAAACACACAGACACACACACACACACACACAGGTTTGTTTTTGTGAAAAGTGGGGACATCCCATAGACATAATGGTATTTATACTGTACAGACGTACAGACCATAGACATAATGGTATTTATACTGTACAGACCGTATATTCTATTGCCCTACACCAACCCTACCCCTAAACCTACCCCTCACAGGAGACTTTGTGCTATTTCAGATTTTCAATACACTCCATTCTGTGTGATTTATAAGCGTTTTGAAAAGTGGGGACATGGGGTAATGTCCTGAAAAGTCACCTTCTCCTTGTAATACCTGTCATACCCTTGTCATTATACAAATGTATGTCCTCATTTGTCACAAAAACGCGCACACACTCTCTCTCTCACACACACACACACACACACACCAGGGAGCAGTAGGCAAATCTAATTCTGTTATATAACCAGTAACTGCACCACAACATAGTCTAAAGTGGGACTGTCTGTCTGCTTGAGTACGACGGCTGCTATAGCGTCGGCACGGGAAACTGACGGCCCAAAACAGGCTTTTGACAATATCAAAGTCCCTCTAATGGGACTGACTCAAATAGAGGATGATGCACTGTTTAGGGACCCTGATGCAGTCTTTGGATCTGCGTGTTCGCCGTCAGGGTAATTAAAGGTTCAGCTGCCTGCTTCTGAGACTCCAGTGTGGTGTGTGGGGAGGCTGCCATGGATATGTAGCGGGAAAACAGCAACCGTTTACACCTGCTCCATAACAACAATAATTGCTCCTAATGGTGCTCATTGTGTTGTCCATTGGAGCTCATTTTAGGAGCTTGGTTATTACACCAGAGGAGAGGCAAAAAAAGCATTCATCATGAAAATTATTTAATAAATGCTGTTTGGAGGCTCTCTCTTAAAAGTCACCCTATATATATATATTTTTTTTTTTTCAAAACACATTATTGATGTTATTGAGAAAGATTAATCCAGGAACTTTAAAAAAAAAAATTTTTGGCCTTGTAATTTGTAACTCAGTCATGGACCTCTCTGGTGACATTTCTCCAATCAATGAACTCGTCATTACCTCAAACTCAAAATTCACCATTCACCACACTATTTAGTAAATGCATGTTATTGAACTTATTGTGAATGATACATCCACGTATATGTATATTTAAAAGCTATTTGACCTCTTAATTTTTTATTAAAATGTCATAACTCAATCTTCCAGTGAATCAACATGTAATGGTTAAAACTAAGTTCCCACTCTACTTTTTATTAATTTTCAACAATCTGTTACACTTGGTTGTACATCACAATACAGAATAAAAGTTCTGTCACTTCCTTTTCATTGTGACTTTACTGAACAGACACCGTGACTGTGTGCATTTACTGTAAACAGTGGCAAATAGGCGATGCAGTCATTTTAAATTAATTTATTGTATTAAATATGAATACAGTGTCCAAAAAAAAAAATCAGGTAAATAAAGATTTTAGTATTGCCTTGATCAATCTTCAAATTAATTTTAGTATAATGTTAACCAGAACCCTTTGATTTGTCCTGACATGCCATTTCACAAGTGGCCACTGAAGCAAAGCTTAACTTTGAATTTATCTATTTGTTTTAACATTTTTGTTTTATTTTTGCTTTGAAATGTACATTTGAACATAATAGATGGGTATAATGAAACTTTCGGCCCACAGCCCTCAAACAAATTAGATTTTTCGCTCTTCATTGTAAAATGTTCGGGCACCTCTGGTCTTAAAGGTGCAGTAGGAGATTTTGGAAAATGCTAACTTTAGCCTGATAGCACTGAAAGCGAACGTCCCACCCTCCCTGCAATCGCCGTCCAAAGCCACGCCCCCTGAACGCATATACGCTCACAGACCAGAATACCAGAGACAACATTACTACAATAGGCTACAGCAGCGGTTCCCAATTCCAGTCCATGTTCCAAAGTGAAGTAAACTTCAACATATTTCCCCCGCTCAGTGAGGAGGGAGCAATGACCACTGTGTTATCATGGTGACCGTGATTTCACCAAGTACAACATGCTCCTGGATCAACATTCCAATTAACCAATCAGAATTGAGAGATAACTTTTCAGGAAATGTCTGTTTTAAGCTTACGATCAGGGTTAGGTGCTTCTACACCCTTGTTAATCAGCTATCATTTCACACTGATTTTATGAATAAATTATGGGTAGGGTTAGGTTTAGGGGTGGGGATTAAGTTTAGTCTATATTTTTGGACAGTGATGTCCAGGAACATGTCTTACTTGGCAAAATCACGGCGATTGTGTTATCATATCGATTGGCACACAGTTCATGCACGTACCTCACTTCTAACGAGCTGGTTATCTGAATCGCGAGGACAGGAACTGGGAACCACTGGGCTACATCATGTGTCATTCACTGGTGAGAAAACTTTAAAAAGTACTACAATACCAGAAAGGAAGATCGGGTTGTTGATGTTTGTCTGCCATCCTCGCTCTGCGTGCGTGAAAGCGCTGATGACGTATCCTGTCTGCGCGAACCGGGTACGCAGAGGTATGCTAATACGTACGTTGACAGGCAGGTACGAAAGCCAATTAAAACACTCAGACCGAGCATTTTGATTGGACGAACATTTCTTGGTCCTACGCCTTCCACAGAACATATAAATACAGATGAATACATTTAGACCACTTAACTTAATGATTGCTATCGGGATGCGAAGACACTTTCAACCAGCATAACGAAAAAAATTTTCTGAAGACAATCACCTATTACACCTTTAACTTTGGATATTGTGTGTGACAGTAGTGATAGTAATCACACTTTAGAGAAAATAGTGTATAAGCCTTGGACCTCCAAATACAATAATACAAACTAAATTACCTTCAGTAGGACTTAATAAACCCTGAATCCTCATAAAAATACAGATACA